TGGCATTGACTTCCGCATTTATCAGCATTTAATTTCTTCTCAACTCATGCCCCCCTTTTTTGATTTGTTTGTCAAATTTGAGGCCATTTCAATTTCTAAGTGTAAGATTACTAAGTTTAACTAAAAAAAACAAAAAAACTGAGCCGACATGTTGAAATGTACAACTACAAGAACAAGCTGCACACCCACCGCCCACCTCGGTCAGTCAGGAAATATCATCAATGTTAATTTCATGTTCAAAAGAGTAATCAAGTTTGGCATTTGCTCCTCCGTATTTCATTGGTTAGAAGTAAGTTCCACACTAACCACTGCTCTGTGGAACCGACTCCCAAGAGGATATTTTCTATATCACTACAATCTAAACCTGTTCAAATCTAGGGTTAACTGTTCTCTTCACCCTCAACATATCCGTAAACTGTGCCTCTTACTTTGTGACCCTCGAGTGGACCCAGGGCCTCATTGCAAAAAAAAAAGAAAGGAAAAAAAAATCCCCTAAAATATGAAAATTTTGAATTCTTGTAGCTCTCAAATTTCCGGATTCGTCGAGGTCGGTAAGGAAGGACAGTATTTATTTGTTTTCTTCAAGAAAGAAAACTAAAAAAGGCCCTTGTTCTGTGAACATACAATAGATTGTCTGTGGCATAAATGCCTATCTGAATTTGATCCAAATTACCAGAGACCCAGAATTTAGCAACTGCTACATTTTTTTCGTGATTGTTTTTAAAAGGCTCTGTTGAATTCTACTACCACATAACATTTTACTTCAGGTCTGTTTAAATTCCAAAAAGTGATATCCAGGAAGAAAATTTTACTACTTGCATACCTGTTAATTTTTTTTTTTAAATCTGTTTTATTTACTATTTGCACAACAATTGGGTAATAGCTGCTATGAGTCAGAAAGCTGCTGGCAAAGAATTTTATCCAGTAGCCATTTCAATCGCTACATAACAAGAGATTCCCACCACCCCCATCTTCAGCTACTGTTGCTGTCTTGACCCGTTGACCTATTAATCTCAACGGCCAATGAGTTTAGCACTTGAACTTGTGAAATAAATCCCCACTTAAAATTTCTACAACTTTAATAACGCTTTTTTTTTTAATCCATGGCTTGTAATTCTTTCAAGTATCCAGCACTTGACAAGTTGTTGGAAATTTTTTTTTTATATAACATAAAAATCATTTGAAAGGGTGATCTTAGCCGATTTGTGCAGCAGGGATTGAGAATGTCATATCATCAGTTTGACACAATTCTTTCTTTCTTTTTTTTCACTATGCCGAGTCAATACAAATTTTTAATTAAAATTCTATTCTTAAAGCAGCTAATTTCTTAAAAATAAATGAACTTCTCAATATTAGTCAGCTTTTAAATGGACCGCGTGTGCCAGTTTCTTTATGAACTGGTGAATGAAACCCGAATTAAAAATGCCTGTTGAAAGATTTGGATCTATCTCTAAATATGAACAAACTTTAGAATCTAATTGTAAAAACTAATTTACTTGAATAAACAAATCTAGAAAATAGTCAATTTTTAGTAGGTACCCCTAAAATCTTTTCTAAAAACAATGCATAGCATGATAGAGAAAGGCCACAAACTTGATAATGACAAAAGTTTTATCATCAAAATGTTTATTAAGAAGAAAGATAAAAATATTTTTTTGATTATTTTAATAAAATTTTTTTTTTTTTTTTTTTTTTTTTTTTAAATCCTTTCTAGCACATTCGAAAGTTTAGGTAAATTTTTTTTTTTTTTTTTATTGGGTGGGTGGGTAAAGATTACCTTGGGAATTTTTTTTTTTTCCGGAAAAAAGTATTTTGGAAATTCTTGTAAAAATCAATAGTAGGATTTTAATGAATTTTCAGGACTTATTCACAAATGAATTAAATTTTACTTTTTATTTTTTTTATTTTATTTTTTACCCATCTGTTACCCCTACTTACTTATAACATTTCAAGAAATTAAAATTTCAACCTCTTCATATTTATATTACTTAAAAGCAAGAATGCTGTGAATCGTAAAATAAAATATGTAATAAAACTATGACTTTATTTAATTAGAAAAACTTAATTGCTTTTATGAACAAGATATATTAAAGGACACTAGTTTTTAAATTTTTTTTTTTTTTCTTTCTTTTTCAATGAATAATTAATTTTTACAAGAATTGTTTTTCATTTTTTAAAAATTACAAATTAGAAAAAAAATTCATTAGGTTTTAACTCTTAAAATTCTATATATTGATTTCAGCCTTTTAGATATTAAGTAGGCAACTCCATTGAATTTAAAAAATGAAAAAGCATCCTTGAAGTTTTGTTTTTAACTGTAATTGAAAGCTAAATGATTAAATTTACTATTTCCAGTAAGCAAAATATTATTCAAAATAGTATTTAAATTCAAAATTATATTGATTAGAATCTCAACTTGTGGCTTGCTTTCAGAAATTGCTTAAATTCAGCCATTTTTGACAGATTTGTAAGCAAAAGTTAATTGTTTTAAAAATCTTCCAAAAATTTATTCTTCGGAAACTTTATTTGAAGAATATTAGCTGATTTAAAGTATAATTAATCTGATTTGAAGTAAATATTAAGTTTAAAAATAAGAGAAATAAATTTTTAAACCAAACATTGGCAGTGATTATGTGCTTTTCGATCACTTACCGGGCATAGATAAGGTGTTGATGTATTTGTTTTATGGCGACTTTATCTGTAAGACATAATTTAAGAAAATGACAAGAGCGCCTTTTTTATATAATTTTTAAGTAATCTTGTAAAAATTCCTTAAGTATTCTTGTAAAAATTCATTTTTCATTGGAAAAATATTTTGGCTTCAGACAATTATTCATAAAAGCCATTAAAAGCTTTTCTAATTAATGTCTTAGTTTTAATTGTTTTTTTAATGTTACAATTCAAAGTTGAATTTTGGGTAGCTGTGTATTTTGATTTCATAAAAAAATACTTATATTCTTCAGTCTTCTGCTTTTAATTAATATATAATCACTAAAAGGCACACTGTTGAATTTCTCTGGTTTTCATAAAATTAAGGGTGCCCATGGGTAACATGAAAAAAAAAAAATTCATTTGTGAATAAGTTCTGAAAATTTCATTGAAATGATTTTTACAAGACTTTCCAAATCACGTTTATTTTTTATTTTTATTTTTTTTCACAAAAAAAGGTGCTAAAAACCTAATGGTAAATATTATATAGAACACTAATGTAAAAAAAAAAAATTAAACAAAAATTTTGAACATGCTAGGAAGGATGGAAAAATTTAATAAAAACCCTTTGATATTTCCTTGTAACAATAAACATTTTGATGAAGTTTTGTTTTTATCAAGTTTGGGGCCTTTTTCATTGTATTATGCTTTTTTTCTTTCAGTGAAAAAGTGGAGGCACCTATATTAAGTGAAAACTGTATTAACTAATCATAAGTTGAAAAGCTTAATATAAATTATCAAATCCCAATATTTTTTAAAGTATTTTGAATTTTTTTTCATTAGTATATAAACTTTTTTGTTTTTTTTTAAGTACAAGTGACCATACACAACATTATCAGAAAATAAGAGCAATAACTATAGTAAATTTTAAAACCAACATTCCTAAAATTCAGTAAAACATTAAATCATGAAAAATATTTTCCTAAATTTTTAAGATTACTGAATACTTAAAAATGATATAAAAAAAAAAGGTGCTCACATCATTTTCTTCAATTTTTTTTTACAGATAAATTCTCCGTAGAACATTAAATCTGTCATCAGACTATCAACACAGCTACTAAAAAAAACCTTAGATAACTCATTTTTTGCGGAGGTCCCTAATTTTTGGTTAAAAAGATGATCATAAGGAACCATAAACAAATGACCTTTGTTTTCTGCTTGACATAAACTAAATTGAAAATTAAAGAGAATTTAAAAAATAAAAAATTAGTCTAGGCTTAAAGCAATTAATTGCAAATGAAAATTGTTTGAATACTTTATTGCAAATAGTTGGCTATAGAAAATGAATGCAGTTGGTCAAATCAAAGCATGATGAAAGTTGCTCTGTTCATGAAAATTATCTAAGACAGGTATGTCATAGAAATGCGATACCTAAGGTTAAATATGAATTTTTAAAAATGTTATTGTAGTTTTAATTTCAAGCTAATAGCTTAAATTGAATATTTTCAATAAGCAGAATGCTTTTTCTGTATTTCAAAAGTAATTTAAATTTACTGGAAGGTGTTTTCGTTTTGAAATTGCTAAAATCTGTGATTTTTAGCGATCTTTTTACCTGTCTGTCATTACAGTGTTATTCTCTTTATTAAAAAATCTTTCAAAAATAAGATATACTTTTCTGAAACTTTATTTGAGGAATATTAGCTGATCTGAAACAAATATTACTTTAAGTTTAAAATATCACCTTTTTTTTTTTTTTTTAAACACTACAGTAGGTGTTTATTTAAGGTGTTTGACAGCCTAATGACAACCTGAGGTTTAAATTTTTTCTCTGGTGGAGATATCTGTAGAAATTACTTGAGGAATATAACATTAGTGTGTGTATATATATATATATATATATATATATATATATATATATATATATATATATATATATATAATGTGTGTGTGTGTGTTTTAAGATTTTCTGAAAAAGAAACATTTCTGAAATAATTTAATTCATTTGTGAATAAGTCCTGAAAGTTTCATTAAAATCTGACATTTTATTTTTATTTTATTTTTTTGTAAGAATTTTTAAATCAGTGTTTTTCACAGCAAAAAAAAAAAACACACACTAAAATTTCCTCTACTAATGTGCTGATGTAAGAAAATTCAGATTTTTAACCAAAATTTCAAATGTTCTAAAATAAATCAAAAAATTTAATTTATCCAAAAAAAAATCCCTTTTAATTTGTAAATTATCCTTTGAAGTTGTAACTAAAATGAGTCTTGAATTTTCTTATTTAAATTCTCCAATTGCGTTTTTAACTACACTTTGTAGTTAATTTTAATTTTTCTTTTTTGTTTTTCAGATAAACATTTCAAAGTCAATAAATGTGGAATAGAGAAAGAGAAAACGGTTTATTTAAAAATGGATAAGATTTCCTCCTTAATAGCCGATCATGCAATGAAGTACGACAGTGGGATTGATGCCAGTGTTTTGACTCACAATTTTAGTTCTATATCATTGGATTCTTCAGATTCTAGTTATGGTTCAGGCGTTGGTGATGTGCTCAATCGGGCACGTATTGACAGCATGGACGGGGATCTAAGCATCAAGGAGGAACTGAATCGAGCTAGAATTTTGAGTCAAGATTTTACTCTTGACAGTATTGGCCTTTCAGCTGATGATGTTGGTGAGACACACATCAATGTTTCCATCAAATTAACGAACAACAGGCAGGCTCAAAACAAAGAGAATCTTCTACAGCTTAATAAGTATTCTAAACTTTTTAAAGCAGACAATGGGAACATGGTTGCATGTCAGCTGTCTAACAAAAAGCCGTCTAATTGTAGATATGGAGGTAACAAGTTAACCAACCCATCTCCAAAAGCTAAGCCTTTGTCACCAAATAAAAACAACTGTAAGCCACACAACAGCCCAAATGTTGCTACGCGTGCTGGTCCCAAAAAAGCGAACACTCGCAAGAAACGTACAGTGCGAAACTCTCTTGTGAGCTCTCCGCCTAAACCGTCCCAAGTTGGGAGCAAAAGGGCAAAGGGGTTGAATAATGCCTCGCCCCATCCACCCGGTGTGAAGAACTCTGTGAAGTCTGCAATTTATATTCCGGTTTCCAAGGCGACAAATCGGTCGGAAGCTCATCCTAAGCCTTCATCTGTCGCCATGACCTGCTCTGACAAGCTGTCCCATTTGCAAGGAATAAAATCTCCTCATGGCAAGGAGGACTCTGTCTATTCCACTCCAGTCCAGACCCCATCGAAGTTAAACAACCTGACTACCACACTGAGTCCAAATGTGACAACCCGATCGTCATCCCCTCGGGAGAAAATACTGAACAGCCAGTTTGTGACGACCAGGTCAACTCCTTCCTCTCAGAAAACCTCTCATTCTCCATCTCCGACTTGCAGTTGGTATAGTGCTGAGGATTCTCTAGAGTTCTTCCCTAATGAACTAAGTTCAAGTTACTGTTCAAGTCCTAATGCCAATTGGAGTAAGCAGTATTTCTCTCCATTATTTGATGATTCTGCTATTGTCGAAGCTTCATGTTCTGGCAAAAAATATTTTAACTTTCCGGAAGCAGTAAATTTGGAAGATGTCTGGGCACAAGAAGTACAACCAGCAACAGAAGGGCAAAGATCTTTTCTCACTGGGGATCTTGGCAGCTGTTCTGTGTCTCAAGGTGACACATATAGCAACAGGGTGCCTTGTGTGGGCCATTCACTCCTTGGTGAAAGGCTTGAAAAAGTTTTGAATATACCTGGTAAGTAAACTTTTTGATTTAAGTAAAAGTTCTTTGAAGTGTTAAGGTAAGCATATAAATTTATTTAAAAAAAAAAAAATTTTTCTAGATTCACTTTTATTTGTTTTTGCTAATATTCACCCAACACAAGGTCCAAGAGCCACTCTGGGTATTTGGTTAGTGTGTGGAGTTATGTTAGCAGAGGAAAAGACAAGTGTTAGTATAGAGCTGAAGTAAACTTTAGAAGGAACTGGAAACCCAATCCTAAACAGAAAACAAGGGGTAAACCTCTACTCTTGTTTAAAAGATAGGAGAGGAGTGTGAACCGTATGTTGGATTCTTTATTGCAATAGATGAAAATTATCTGTTCCTATAATGCCATGCTTGCCACCACATCAGAGAGATATTTATTAGTTCATGTCAGTTTGGGAAACTGTCAGTCATTCAAAAAATGTTCATCTGTCCTCCTTCTGTATAAAATCCATGTTTATCTCAAACTTTGTAAACTTTTTAACGTTGCTAAAAGTGCAATGTTTTTTTTTTTTTTTTTCAAAATTCCAATCACCTGAAGAAGCCACAGCATACACTGGTTGAAACGTTGTGAATATGTTAATGAAGATGAGGATAACAGTCCGAATAATGTAAATAATCATATCTCATCCCATCCCAGAGATATAGACAGATTTTTATTAAGTGGCAAAGAAAGATTTGTATACAAAATGAAAATTGGTTTCATGACCTTATTTGTGATTTCATGGCCACATCACGTTAAAACACGGGTTCTCTTATGATCATTGAAGTTAAGCAACATTGAGCCTGGTCAGTACCTAGATGGGTGAGAATATCAGGTGCTGTAAGCTTGAATGTATGGGTAGCGTAATGTTTAATGGCTTGAAATTGTTAATTGGAAAGCCAAGTTTCATATGCCAGTTGGGGTCATTATATTCACTTATGCACAAATACCCTTGAAAGAGGTATGAATCCACCTCTTCTCCTCCAGCTATGGGTTATTTAGTAAGACTTGTATCACTAAACCATATCTCCAGAAAATAAAATTGTGTACAAAATGTTAGTTTTGTCATTAACTAGCCCATAAAGGTTGATATGCTGCTAAACAACCATCACATTGTGATAGATGCTTACATTATCTCAAGTGGACATCAAATATACGATCTACTGCTAAAAAATATTACAAAAATGGTTGACTCATTCTGTCATGCCAAGAAGCAAGTAGAGCAAAAAATAGCACCTTGCTGCCATGTCTGAGCTGGGGCTGCTCAATCCTTGCATTCCAGCCTTGAAAGAATCCGTCTGCTGCGATTCATCTTTACAAGTCAGAATAGACCGAAAATAGAATATTGCTGCCATGTAGGGGCTGGAGCTGCCCAATCCTCGCTTTCCAGTTTTGACAGAGTTCAGAATCGTTTATGCAGTCTTGTAGGGATGGGGGTCTGTAGGGGATGACATATTTCTCACCCTGCAACCTTTCTCCCAACAGATACAACATTGCAAATCTCTTGTTCCTCTATCACTATTTTCATGGCAAATCTTCAGATTAGCTCCACTATTTAATTCTGCCAGTTCATCCGAACCTTGCTACATCCACAGGGTTGAATCACCTTCATTTCCTATGTATTCCTTTGGTAAGAAGAGAATTCCATTCTATCAGCTTCTTCCAAAGAACCACTACTTTTCAGAACACTCCTGCAGGGACACTTTCCCCAAACACTTAACCACTTCGAATCAAGGGTTGCACGTTATTCTATCCCCTTTATCCTCCTAATCTTCACTTCTTCACACCTACTTTCATTCCTATTATGCACCCTATTTGTCATTACCATTTTAACAGTAATCCTCTACCTTGAGTGGCTCTTGGGCCATGTACTGGGTAGCCTCGTCATGTCAGAACTTTCGTATGAATGTCATGCATGGTGCCAGAAATATCTTAACTGTCAGCTGTACATAACTGCTTTCAGTGGTTAATAATGTCTTTAAACAAATGAGCCCTGTAGGCCTTAGAGAGGACTGTCCTTTGACTGTCCTTTGACTGTCATGGACTAATGAATAATCAAAGAAAGAGCTGAAATAAATCATAGACACCACATCACTTGAGGACTTTCAATAACAGCAAAAACTGAAATGGACTATAGTCAAGATGTTGACATTCCACACTAATTTAAACAAAAGGCTAGGAAGGAAATGCTTATTAATAATGGAAAGAGAAAATAAAAAAAAAATTATAAATTTCAGCCAATAGTAGCATTTGGTTCTTGATCAATGAATGTCAAATGTTTCTATGTAAGGAAATGCGAATAATACCATTAGAGTTAAGGATAACAGGTACTACACTTTGATCCCAGTCTGATGACCAGGGAGTGAAGAAAAGCGCAAATCAAGTAGCACTGACCGTTCGGTCAATGAATGCCTTATGCCTTGTAGCCTCTTGCATCTTAATTTCGTTATTGCCTTGCTTGGGGTGAATTGATTTTTTTTATTTTATTTTTTTTTTTTTTAAACCCTAAATCTCCTAGTAGCACTAGCTGCAGTATTTAGTTTTAATATATACAGAAAATGTGGCACAAGGCCAAAAGGGCATGCAAAAGGCTGGTCTTCCCCTGTTCTACATTTAATTTTGGCCTTATAAGCAAAAGGTTAATATTATTAACATTAGATACATTTTGATCCTAGTCCAATGGCCCTTGAGTGAAGAAAAGCATAACTTGAGTGACACTTGCTGCTCTGTCAATAAATGCTGAATGTTTCCTTATAAACTCCTAATTTTACCATTGCCATGAGAGATCAGGAGAACCCTTTGATCCCATCCCAATGGCCAGGGAATGAAAAGGTTTTATTTCCTATTTTTGTTTTTACTTATTTTTCCTCAATAGGAGTAGATAGGTCCACTTATTGTCTCACTCCTACTTGATTTATCCCTTGTTTCCTGTTTGGATTGGGTTTCAGGTGCCGCCTTAGTCTTTTTCATTCTCTTTTCACTCCCAGTAGCCCCTTGCATCTTCATTTTCTTATTGCCTTGCTTGGGGTGAATTGACTTTAACCCCCCCCCAACACCCCCAAATCCCCTAGTAGAACTAGCTGCAGTATTTAGTTTTAATATATACAGAAAATGTGGCACAAGGCCAAAAGTGGGTGAAAAAGGCTGGTTTTCTCCTGTCCTACATTTAATCTTGGCTTGCCACCATTGCTGACCCAAATATTCTATAATTTTCCTTCCACCAAAACAACACATTCTTTCTTGCTACAGTCACTGTAATAATGCAATTTCTCTATGAAGTCCTAACTTGTCCCCCATATGTACATTTTGTTAATCAATGGTGAATTTTCCTTATAAGGAAATGGCTAATATTATGAAAATATTTAAAAAAAAAAAAAAAAAAACTAAATAAAAAACATTTGAATTTTCAAAAATTTTCAAATCAATGTCTTTTTTTTTTTTTTTCCACTGGGGGTGGGGTGCAAAAACATTGTGTTGGCCACTGACACAAAAAAATTAATAAAGTAATAAAAAATATTTTCATCATTGCTTTTAATAACAACATAAACATTTTGATGATGAAATTTTGTTTTTAAGTTTGGGGTCATTTTTTTCATCATGCTATACTATTTTATCAGCAAAAAAAAAAAAAAAATGCTGGAGGTACCTATTTTAAGGTGGATTAAACAAACCATAGTTTTTTTTTGTTTAATTTTTTTTTTTTTTCTTGGTGCCCAGTTTTCTGAAATGATATGGAAATTTGCTTCAAAGTTGAAACTGCTAAAAATGAGCAACATTGCACATACATACTCTGAGTAAAGACTCTCTCCAACGTCTGTGTTACATGAACTAGATTTGTGAAGTGCATTTTCAAACTTAAGTTGCCATGTTTGTGTCTGTCTGTGGCTGTTGTAATGGTTACCAGTGTGGAAAGTGGTATGAGGGTTTAACTTCCAGATGAGGTTGTTGCATTCATTTTACTTTAAGCCCTTTGGAAGATCTGAATAACTCTTCCTTTCTAATATCAGGGCAGAATTGACTCTCTAGCCTTGATTGGGCCAAACCTGTCAAGAAGTTCTAAACTTCACAGCTAAGACTCACCATTATATCAAACCATTCTCTCATTCTCTTCATAATCCATTGGTGAGGTACAAGTTTCACTTGAGCAACTTCTTACCTTCTTACTACAAACAGCTATTTTATGGAACTGACTCCCAAGAGGGTACTTCCCTGATTGTTAAAATCTTAACCTGTTTAAGTCTAGGGTTAATCATTATCTTCATCACATATTCCAATAAACACTTTTTACTTTGTGTAGCCCTCGAGTGGCTCTTAGGCCTTGTACAATGAAGAATATTTTTTTTATATAATGACAACTCTTAATTCAAATCTATAGAAAAGACATCTGAACTCAACAATGCAGTTACTTATGTATTGTACCACTTCAAGATGTGTGTGATCATGACTCTCCACAACTTCTTATCCTTTATAGCTCTAAACTATATTTGTCCTTTTACTATATCTTGTTACTAGATGCTTTTTCTTTCTTCCATCTTTATATTCTGTGAGTCTGGAGTAAACAGTTTACAGGTTAAAAGAAGGAAGTGGAGAGAATCATGATCACTTACCTCCTGAAAGGATGATGTATAGTCATTAAACTAAGGGAGATAACTTGAAAAGGTCTTATTTACGAAAAAAATGATTACTTCCCTTAAAATTTTAAATTCTTTTCCAATAAATACTCGCTTTTAGATGACCGTGTTAACATTCTATCCATGAAATCCTGGTTCGAATCTCTACATGGTTGAAGTGACTTCTTCATAATATCAATCTGGAGAGATGATCCCAGCAAGTGGCAACTGCTGGGAAGGTGCCTGAAAAATATACCTCAGGTTGATCAGAGCCATGTGAGTTAAATTGGGTAGATGAAACTGTTTGTTTGCTAGCATTAAGTTATAAGCCATTGTAACCAAGGGTTTGAGTGTTGTGTCCTTGTTCTACTACCTATCATGTCAGATTGTTTTCTCAC